GTGGGGGGAAAAGGTACTCATAGAATGCTGGTGGGACTGCAAATTGGTGCAACCATTTTAGAGAGCAGTGAGGAGATTCCCAGAAAACTTGGAATGAAACCACCATTTGATCTAGTTATCCCATTCCTCAGTCTATACCCAAAGGACTTAAAATCAGCATACTATAGTGACATAGCCACACCAATGTTTATAGCAGCTGAATTCACAATAGCTAAAATGTGGAACCAACCTAAATATCTTATCAATAGTCAATAGACAGACACTGATATATATACACAATGTAATATTACTCAGCATTAAAATAGAATAAAATTATGGCATTTGCAGGTAAATGGATGGAGTTGGAGAATATTATGCTAAGCTTAGTTAGCCAATCCCAAAAAACTAAAGGGCAAATGTTTTCTCGGATTAGTGGATGTTGATCTATGATGAGGGTAGCATAGGAAGAATGGAGAAACTTTGGATTGGGCAAAGGAGAGGGTGTAGAGGGGTTATGAAGATAGGAAAGATGGTGGAATGAGATGGATATCATCACCCTAGGTACATGTGTAATTGCACCAATGGTGCATCTTTATACTGTATATAACCAGAGAATGGAAATGTTGCACTCCACTTGTGTACAATGAATTGAAATGCATTCTGCTGTCATATATAACTAAGTAGAACAAATAAAAGATTAAAAAAATTAGTTGTAAAGTGACATTGTGCTATTGGCCCAGAGTCTACACTGTGCTTCCTACTCCCAGGAGTTCCACCCACCCATCAGAAACAGCCCCAGAAGTACAAATGTATTTGCTCTTTGAGGATTAGGTGTGAGAACAAGGAACATATTGCCACACATGGAATGTTTTTAAGAAAGCCACTCAAAGACCACTTTGGACTAGGTCAACTGAAGGTAAAATGAGATGGAAAGTAAAATGGGAGGTGTTCCACTAACCAGCATGGAGCCTGCTGTTTGGTTCTGGGTTATCTGAGGTGATAATCTGGGTTGACTTAATGGGTGTAACTGAAATGTGATTAATTACTATGGGAAATACGTTAACAAATCTCAAGCTTCTAACTTAGGTCACTAAAACATTGCTGAAGTTCAGTGCTGGATAAAGCACTGACCTACAGTTAACCCTGTGACCTTCATCATCTGTGCCACCTCTTATGTGCCTCACAAGTTGCCTAGAGTCTGGGGCAGAAGAAAAACACGTGGCCCCAAAAGCATGCTTTTATGTACTGGTCTCTCTCTACTGGTTTCTCTTTCACAGAAGTAGCTTTCGAAAATACTACTGGCAAGTTTACTTTCATTTAAACCAGGAAGGTAAAATTCTAACAAATTCTAGTTTTGCTTTAGATAAAATATTTCAATTTATGTTGTGACTTTCAATTTTTGAATACAATCTCATTTATTTTAGTGTTTGGAAATGAAAAATCACTTACAATCAGCATTGGGATCCTATCTTCATTTAAGATTTTAATATTTGGCTTATGTTTTTCGGGGGTCATTCATTTCAATTTTTGAAAATATTGTGTTAGTATCTATCTTTGTGCCTGGGTGTTTTGGTACCTCTTAGACTCCGTGCTTGAGGTGAAGGCCTAATTCTACCGGATATCATGATCAACTTTGGTAAAGTTTACCAGTCCAGTCCTTGCCATCCATAGCAAGCTCTAGATGCTCCCACAACCTTTCTCATCATGGTCCCCTTAAAATAACTTTCATGACCCGAGTCACACAGAACTGGGAGGGCAATAATGTCAGGAAAAATCAGGACCCTGGGTCATGGTCCACAGTGAACAGGGACAGCGGCTCCCGGATCCACTCCAGGACTGGACCACAGGAAGGGTGACTTCCCTTCAGTAGCCTCAGTTTAAGGGAGTATCAAAAACTCAGTAAGCAGGATAAGTACTATTTTAAGGCAGTACCTTTAAAATTTAGATTAATGCCAAAAAAAATCCACAGTGACCAAAATATCAACATTTTCAATACAGAACCAGTGACAGTGCTGGGCTGAGCCATGTTATGGAGCGTCAGCAAAAGGAAGACTTTTAATCCCCACCCGTCTTTATTCAAAATGTTGTTATTGTGTTTCTGATACATTTTTGGCTTTAGTTTTTATTTCGTAATGTATTACATTGAATTATGATTTGTCTTGATGGTAGGTTTTCTGTTTGTTTTTACCAACCCCTTAAATTTTGTACCCAATGTGAGTGCCTCATTCATTCCTAGTCTTGGCTTTGATCCACAATTTCAGATTATCAGACTCACTCCTTCCTCCAGAATTTGGCCAGTCATCCCAGAAATCTGAGGTCTTCTCATGATCAGTCTCATTTAATCGTCGGCTTCCTCCTCCATCCCCACTAGCCACCTCCTTTGCTGTTAAGATGGTGCACGAGTAAGACAATGATCCATCATGAAAACCGCACCTGAACTCATGTGTTCCTCTCCAGTAGGCTGGTAAAGGCTGAGGAGAAGCAGCAGCTTGCCATGCTTTATGAAAACATTGAGATACCATATGAGGAAGTTTCTGAGGATGAGTCCACCAACCTGCTTCCAGAGAACGAGAAGGAGCTGGGGAAGTTCATCCGTTCAGGTAGTGACGGGCTAGTCTAAGTGGGTACAAGGTCACAAGAAAGCTCGGCCAGCAATTTTTTAATGGTTTAGTTTTTAAAAGCAAAGATAAGTGGGAGATAGTGGATTCCCTGGTAGGAAAGATGGACACCTGTGTCCGTACCCACAGAAGCAGCCATTCTCCTCTATCCTGGAAGGCTGATGGCTGTGTGGCTGCTTGTTTCCTGATGCATGGTGATCCCAAGGACCCTGGGACAGAGTCCAGGAAGTAAACTTTGCAGAACAAAGCTTTCCCTTAAATATAATTGTTTCTATGACTGTTCTCACGTTTAGGACACAGTTATGCAGTTATTTCTCTTGCCTCAGTCTGCTGTGGAGGTAGGTCCAGGATCACAGAACAGATGCCCCTACCCCCAGGGGTGCCTGCCCACTGTGAAGGGGTGGCCTGAATGCTCCTGCTCACTGATCTCTAAAAGTTCTGAGATTCTTGGACACCTGTTACAAACTTCTAGAGGAAACACATGTGTTTCTGTCTGATCAAGTCATACTGATACCCACCTCTGGATTCCCTCTAACAATTCCAGACATGGACAGCCCAAAAGAGCCAAAAGGCCCAGGAGCCCTTTTTATTACCTAATAGAAAATATTTTTTCAATATCTTTTTGTTACATTGGATTATGACTTTTACTTGTTCTTTTTAAAAATTAGGCATTTATAAAGTTTTTATATACAAAAGGGAAATGACATTAAAATTAAATAACATTTATCATCTCAAGAAGCCCACTGCTTGTTCCTTCATTTCCCATGCTGCACCCTTGATCCTTTCTTCTCCACTCTCATTCCTCACTTACTCACGTCTCAATAACTTCATCTCTACATTTTAGTTATCAGATTGAAAAGGAGGGAAAATATTGAAAAGAAGAAATTGAGGGAAGAGCAAAAGTTAATGAAAGAAAAGATAAAGGATGCCATGTATGGTGCAAAAATGGAGAATCTGTGAAAGCACATGGGAGAGGCAGGGTGCGCTCACCAGGCTGACAAGACCACATGGCAGCGGTGGCTGAGGACGCAGCAGGACCTGCTCTGAGGGCCCGGAGAAGAGCACTCCAGGGAAAACAGCATAGGAAGTATGTAACAGAAAATAAATTCCTATGATCAGCAACCCTTGCTTCCTAGCTGTGATCATCCACGAACGATTGTAGCTTGATTGGAGAACAGAAGGAATCCAGCTGTGTTAAGGGACAAGGAGAAATTGTCAGGATTTTCTTCTCTTGCTCTCACAGGTTCAGATAGAGGCACAGATAGTTTCTTTGGGCAGGACCCCATACCATGCTAGCAAAAGGCTTTCATTAAACAAAACTTTCTCTTTGTCATTTTCTATCAATTCCAGGCATTTATTTGTGACTATTTTACACATGAAGAGACTGAGGTTGTCACAATAAATGACACCAGATTAAGACAGTCATGCCTGTGGAGGTCAGCTCTCTGGAGCAGAGTGGCCTGCAGTGAGGAGCCATAGACATAGCCAAATGTAGCAAGCTACAAGCTGGGAGCTGCCAAGGGCTGTGAAAACACAGGAGGCAATATTTAGTCTAAATGGTGCAGTTGCTTTGGAAATGTCGGGCAGTTTCTAGAAAGTTAAACACTGAATTACTGCCTGACCCAACAATTCTACTCCTAGATACACATTCAAGAGAATTGAAAACACCTGTCCACACAAAACTTTGCACACAAATATTCATAATGCCATTATTCAGAAGAGCTGAAAGTGGAAACGACCCAAATGTCCACCAGTTGATAAATGGATGAACAAAATGCAATCTATCCATACAATCAGTTTTTTTTAGCAATATAAATGAAGTACTGATGTACACCACAACATAAATGAATTCAGAAAACATCATGCTACTTGTACGGAGCAAGACACATACTATACAACTCCCTTTATACAGAGAACAGTCAAACCTGCAATTGCAGAAAAAGGGTTAGTGGCTCCAGAGCTGGGGGAAGGATGAAATAGGATTGTTAACTAATAGGAATGGTATTTATTTTGGGGGTAATGAAAATGTTTCAAAATTTAATAGTGGTAATGGCTGTTCAATCTTGTGAATATGCTGAAAACCACTGAGTTTCACTTGTGTTTTTTTTTTTTTGTGTGTGTGTGTGTGGGGGGTACACTGGAAATAGAACCCAGGTCCTTGTACATGCTCTATCACTGAGCTTGACTTTCAGAACCCAAAAGTGTACACTTTAAAAGAGAATTGCATGGTATATTAATTAAGTCTCAAACGAGCTATTAACAAAAAAGATTTAGTCTAACTTGAGGATGAGCTGAAGACAGACCAGTCTCCTGACTTTTGCTTTCAATTTCCATATTTCCTAAACTTGAAAAGTTATAAAAGACAATGTGACACAAGAACAGGGGTGCTGTGTAGTAGAGGCTGGGGCAGTCTAAAGAACCTTTCAGGGCTGGGAATTAGCTCAGTTGGTAGGGTGCTTGCCTTGTATGCAGAAGGCTCTGGGTTGACCTTCAGCACTGCCAAAACAAAAACCCTAAACAACTTTCCAGCCACTAGTTTGAAGCTGCATGTGGGGTATAGTGAGGGAAAGAACCACATATGGGACAGATGTTCCAGTTGATAGCAGGATGACAAGCAGCCAGGGAGCAGCCTTGATTCACAACTCTCAGGGCCTGGGGGCCTTCAGTGTTCCCAAATACACCCTTATCTCTGCCCAGCTACTCTTAGACAAAATCCTAACTCAGGGAGGCAGTAAAATGAAGTCACTTGCCTTAGTCTGGTTGGCTTTCCTTAACAAGTATCTTAGTTTGGGTGGCTTAAAGGGGAAAAACACATTTACGTCTCATAGTTCTGGCAGCTGAAGTTCAAGATCAGGGTGCTAGCATGGTTGGCTTCTGGTGAGGCATCTTTGAGATGGAAAGGGAGAGAAAATCCTGGCTTTTGTGAGGTTGTAAGTAAGGGTACTAATCCTTCTCACTCTCATGACCTAATTACCTCCCAACATCTCCATTTTCAAATACCATCACAGAGAATTAGAGCTTCAAGGTATGAATTTGGGTGGACACATTCAGTCTACAGCAACTGCTTTTCAAAACATTACCTGCTACCACTGCCATCAGCTTGCTCATTTGATAGACAACATGGCAAAACAAGCTTTAATGTCCATCAACAAATAACACTGCTCAGCTGTGGAACCTCCAAAATCAGTGCGAGGACCAACCAGTCTCCAAAGCCCGACTGGACGGACCAGTGCCCTCCAGTCGTGCCCTGGAGCTTCCCGGCGTCCTTCGCGGCAGCCCCCCTCCTTCCACGGAAACACGTCACCCAGTCGCGCCTGCGCCGGGCGGCACTTCCTCCACACTCGCGCTCGGGGCGGGACTTCCGGAGTCCTGCCACTTTCCGGTGAGGCCGCCGGAATCTGGGAGGGTTGGAGCGGAGCTGGGACGCCGTTCGTGGCGGGGTTTTTAAACGTTCTAGACAGTTAAAGGAAGAACGTACGAAGGCGACGCGGCCTCTCCCGCACCGGGAGGCGGCATCCCTTCCCTGAGCCCCACGGCGGGCGCAGGGACAAGAGCACCGAGGCAGACGCCCGGGCAGTCCGCTGGGGCTCGGGGAAGAGGCCGCCTCTTCCCGCGGGCTCCCGTGTCGGTGCAGGGCGGGGGGACGTGCCTGGGTTTCTGGGCTGAGGAACATAAGTGCACGGTGGTCGTGAAGGGAGAACGTGTTGGGGACAGGGCAGTCCTGCATGGTCAAGGCTTTCAGAGGAAGAGTGGGCGTGCAGTGTTTTGGCAGCAGAGGAGAAGGGAAGAGACACTCAGGCCCGCGTCGAGCTTAGGGTCCCTGGGCTCTCCAGGGTTTGTGCCTGGGGGAGCGGGGCGCAGGGTTTGGTCCAGCCTGGCAGATGAGGCCAGCTGTGCCTGTGATCTCAGAGCGACATGGTGCTCAGAGAGTGAGCAGCGGAACTGGGCTTTGAAGGTTTGGTGGGCAGAGGAAGACTTTTGCAACTGAGGGGATGGCAGGTGGGGCCAGAAGTGGAAAGGCGCTGGGTGTCAGATTCCAATCAAGTGGGTAGGAAGGCTTTTGCATTAGGATTTGGGCTGCCACTGCTGTTGGGAGCCCTGGGTGCCATGGAAGTTGACTTAAGAAGGTTATTCTGCAGCTCTTTGCCAAGATGAGACGTAAGGCCTGGAATCAAGGCCAGTTGTATGGGTTTCTATGCCCTGAATACAGGTTCTCCCCAGTCTATACCCTGGGTAAGGTCTACCAAGTAAGTAAACCTTTTTATCAAGTTGGAATAAGTGCATTGGTAGTGAGTTTTAGTTCCCCACCAGTGATGGAGTAAGGCCAGTTGCATACCCGTACCATAGGAATCAGGGGTCACCTTGCCCTCTTGATCCTAGAAAACATGCATCCCACAATTTCTGGTTGTCCATTCTTATCTATAGTGCAACCCTTGATGGTGTGTGGTTTCTCCTTTCCTAGGTTGGGAATACATGTGACTAATAAGTTGC